TGAATTTGGGTAAATAAAAGTGTTCTAGATATAAATCATTGATTTGACGACGCAAAAGCAAATTTATATGCAAGATCATTATCGGTAACAAAAATTGTGCCAGAACTCCCATTTTGCCTCTACTGTGAACTAAGTTGTCTAGTAATTATCAGTGAGTTGATATAGCCTTTTCTCTATAGTCACACCTTTGCATATTACTATTATATATTCTTTGAAGTATTCAATTTATAATGGGAAAAAGTAAGATTATGTTTGAATGGAATTAATCGCAAGTGGTAAATTTTAGACCGTTAATATCTTATTTTATTATTGTTACACAATAGTAACAGTAAAATTCGCTTTTTTTATAAGGTAAAATTCGCTTTTCTTTTTTTTTATTGTAAGCTTTTTTTGTTATTTGTACTTGCTTTAATATATTTTAAAGTATATAAAACCTTGTGAAAAACATGATTAGACATGTTTATATAGAATCTTGTGATGTGGTTGGAATGTTTATGTAGAATCTTGTAGAGAACCAAAACGTGAATAAAAGAAGGAACCATGTTATTAATTTACTTTTTTGGATAACTTATAAATCTTGATCCTTTTTTTTTTTTTGAGGTGATTATGGTGATGTTTTTAGATGTATTAAAGCGTTATTTAATGCTAATTATTAATACTAAACTCTAAATATCTCCCTTAATTAGAAGATATAAGATGAAACACAATAAGGTGATAAAATATAAATAATTTAAGATGTTAATGTTAGGCTACTTATTACTAACAATGAATGAATTATCTTTACCAACTGATAGCGCTATAAAGTTCAAAATAGCTTGGCGTCCATTATTTTCGAATCTTAGATGTATACAAGTACCACTAACCAAAGTATCTTCGGTAATAGACCTATATATATTTGATATAGTATTATCTGGAGGTAGTAGTCTTAGTGAAGGTTATACAGTTTTGTCTCAAGACTGTACAAATAATGGTCAGATAAGGAAGGAACTTGATTATTACAAGTTATGTGTAAGATAGATTCTTATTATTTTCAAATGTAAAGTTGCATGAAGGAGATATAAAGAGTATTACACTTATTGATGAAAATGCAAAGTGTTTATCTAATTTGACACTGGTATACGTAGAATACCTTAAATGTTTTGCTCGGATATGTAATATGTTGAATAGATTTGTTTATTTTAAACTAACTCATGAAATGCCAATAATACTGTTTTAGAATGGCTACCACAAGGGCAAATGTAATTGGAAGAGCTACATCGCAGTTTTTAAGGACAAACCACTTAATTTATATAATATTGAATGCCGTGGAAATCATGATCCTGAACATGTTAGAACAAAGCCATATCAAATGGCAAAAGTAATCAGAAAAGAAATCGCAAGTAGATCTACAAGCACAATGCCATCAATATTGGCAACAGGTAAATTTAAAAGCTATTTTAAATTTGAAAAAAAAACAACTATTACATTATCTATTTTGCATATTTTTAGAATTTATGAACAATGCAAAGATTTCTAATATAACTGCTAGTACATCTGCAAATCAAGTTCAACCAATCTTTACTCGATTTACACCTAATCTTGAGGCAATTCAAAATGCTCTCAAGTATAACAAAAAGTTACACTATCCAAGTGCTTTAGAGTTTGAAAAGGTGATAATCTGAGGGTTTTTATTTATTTATTTATTTATTATTTATTTATTTATTTATTTTTGTTTGGGTTAACAGGTTAGTTTTTTAATGGATACTTAAGGTGTTGCAATATCAAAACAATATGGTATTAAGAATGCGCAAGATCCCAAGGAACAAGCTGTGCTTCTTGGCATCGCATCTACAATTATGCCAACATTATTGGCCAAGTATTCAGATCTTCTTGCAGTAGATTCTACTGGACACCGTAACTGTTTAAACTTTCCGAATATGGCCTTTATAGTCAGATCGGATGAACTCTGTGGTCAAATTATAGCTACATTCATAAGTGACAGAGAAACGATACTAGTTATTAACCTGATATTTGAATTAGTAAGTATTTTTGGTTATTTTCCTAAATTTTACTAGATAATATTAAACTCTGGCTATTCTTAGTTAATTCAGTATAGTGCTAAAAATGACATTCAACTGAACCCTAAGTGGTTAACTCTAAACAAATGGGACCCATATCTTGTAGCGGCTAAAAAATACTTTCCAAATACGCAAGCAATTTTATGTGACTAGCATGAAGGTGAATTTTTGATTTTTTTTTTTTTAATATTACATTCTTATAATATTTAAATTTTGCACTCTTTTAGCCGATGCTCTCAAGGAATGGTTTACGAAAAATCTGAATAATCAATGGCTTAGAGATCGAATATTCTACCAATTTAGATTTGTCAAGTGATCCCGAGATCAAGAAGAATTTGATGAAAGAAAAGTTATTATTTTAGATACAGAGAAACTTTAGGCTGCTGTTAGAATAATAAAGTTAGATACTGTGAGAGTTATTACATCTTATTTTAGAACACATTGGTTTGGTGATTGGGTTGGTCAGTAAATATAGTTTACTTTATAATTGGTCTTTTATATGTTTTATTAGTAATTTTATA